TAGACATAAACTAATCTGGATTTGAGTTTTTGTTACATTTTGGCGAATGTCAAGAGGGAGTCGTGGAAATGATGTACGACTTGTGATCATCACTGAATCCATTCATATATTATAAAGACTTAAACTAAAGTCTCAAAACTTTTTTTATTTTGTTGAAAGTTTGCGAAATTCTGATGTCATGTCTGTCTAAAGAGAAGTAGAGTTCACTTCTGAACGCAAAGAACAACAAAATTATTAATTAATTTTACAGACATTTTTGCATACAATGTGAAGATCTTTACTATCGGATTCATATTTGTGGCCACATTTCACGACATGATTCTTGCATTCAATTCTCATATTACATATCCAATTGATTGCGTGACATCCAAACTATTGACATATACTGTACTTTATATGCAATGTATTATTCCTATACGAATGTTCACTACAGAGTGAATGCAAACTGATATCCGAGACGATCAACAAATGAATGAATACTTAGGTCTCGAGAAAGAACTGAACACTAAATTTGGAAAAGTTTTCAGTGTTAGGAATAACTGTGGTTTTTGGTGTGATTTTAGCGTTTGCTGGCAATGTATTAGTGCCGGGACTGGTATTTAACGACACACTTGTCACCTCATTGGGAGGGGACGGGAGGGTCATAGGGGTCAGTGACAAATGAGTTACCATTAAGACAAGCCATTAGATAGAGAAACACATGGCTTTCGGATGAAGTTTTGCGTAAAAAGTACTCAAAGCAATACATCACACAAAAAATATTTAGCGTTTCGACTCATTTATACCATTCTTATGGCAACGCAATGAGAAAACAATTTATTTAAATAAATGGTGAGTAAAAAATGCAATTAAAAAAGTTATTGGTTTGTGTCATACCGGCCCGCTTTGGTCACAATCATCTCTGTTCCCAATTCGTTGAACTCATCCCAAAGACATTTCATCTCAAGTGTGGCGATCGTTGACCACAGGTTTGCATGTATGGGACGCTCCGATTCATTCTCTTTCATATCTTGGCTCTCGTTTCTTATCACTGAAACTGCGGCCGATCTGAGCGGCGATGACTGCGGAGAGGGTTGACAAGAGTTGCCGGTCGTGTCGTCTCCTAATCTTAAGGCAGCGTCCGATAGCTTCTGCCACAGAGATAGCGATCGGTTGACACTATTGTCCGAATCACTCCTTAAGTGTTGTACTATTAGGCGAAACGAAACCATAAATTAGTGTTTTATTTAGTAATAAAAATGCAAAGATCTTTGTCTAAACAGAACTCATGTCTAGATTGTGATGATCTTAAGGATTACGCAAACATGTCTAACGAGAGCTGTAGATCATGTTATGGACTGACAGTTAACTGTAAGTTTAACTGTAAAGAGAAGGGTCATAAAACTCGACTGTCCAGACAAATAATGCCTTAATGTGTATGCGTTTGGACCGACGCGAGTCCCATCTTCAGCCCCATCCGCCTCATCCCTAACGATCTGATCCATAGCATAGAGTGCACCCCAAAAGCCAAGTAATACTATACTACACTATATTATAGTCAATGGTGTGTGAGATATAATATATTAGTTTTGTGTTTCTTTATTCACGTCCAGCTGTAGACTCGATGTGACAACTCTTGAATGCAACAGGAAAAGGAGTTTTATGTGTTGGACCTATCTATCAGTCCTGTCCTCTCATCCACAGACTCTCTCTCTCTCTCTCTCTCTCTCTCTCTCTCTCAAAGTGAACTCTACTTCTCTTTAGACAGACATGACATCAGAATTTCGCAAACTTTCAACAAAATAAAAAAAGTTTTGAGACTTTAGTTTAAGTCTTTATAATATATGAATGGATTCAGTGATGATCACAAGTCGTACATCATTTCCACGACTCCCTCTTGACATTCGCCAAAATGTAACAAAAACTCAAATCCAGATTAGTTTATGTCTACACAAAACGCTTTCTACACATTTGTCCTTCAATTTTAAATTGAAATGAAATCAAACAAATATTTATTCTCGTTTAATTAAAATATTTTTTGCTCTCTCTCTCTCTCTCTCTCTCTCTCGTAGAAAGTATACATGTATATATGGCAGTCTAGTGTACATAAGATGTAGTGAGACCTCCCATATAGGTTCATATCGATACCACAATACCCTCTAATAACCGAAGCAAAACAAATTCGTTACTCTCAACTATTTTGCATTTTTTACATTTCAAACCCTATATTACTATAGAGTCTTATTTGAATTCTTACCCACAGTCTTATGTCATAAATATTTTTTGTATGTTTTATCACAAATATCATTGCGTAAAATATTTACAGTATTTATCAAAAACTGAATAATTTTTAAATTCTTTGATTGGAATTGTATATGTAATTTAGTGACAAGAATTTGTCCTAGAGAAGCNTAAATATTTTTTGTATGTTTTATCACAAATATCATTGCGTAAAATATTTACAGTATTTATCAAAAACTGAATAATTTTTAAATTCTTTGATTGGAATTGTATATGTAATTTAGTGACAAGAATTTGTCCTAGAGAAGCGATTTTTACTTATATAATTATACATTTAATAATAACGTTAATATCTTAATTTAAAAGTATAGCAAATTTTGAATATAAACTGTTAATTACCTGAAACATAATCTCTTTCGGTATTCATTATCGATTCATTTGATGGGACCGAAGGAATGGTAGAGTTAGAGCCCGTTATATTTGGGTAAGAATTTGTGAACCAAACCCCAGATTTCTTCCATAACTTTTAATAGAATTGAATGAAATTAATATAAATCGATATTATATTTTTTAAAACAAATTTACTGAATTTAATAATACTTACATCTCTTGTTTCTATACATATTTTGCACATCCATTGCGAATCGTTGTCTAAACTTAATTTATCGCCACATTTAACACAAATTGACTGTTGATTTAAAGGTAAAAATATTGTGTATAAATTGAAATACACATTAAATTGAAGAATTGAATGATAATTACTTTGAGGCAATCTTTGCAGCGATGAGTTTGAACCCCAAAGAGACTGATTTGGTCGTTGATTGACACACAAGAGCAGCAATCCTTTGTTTTGGAAATATTTCTCAGTCTATCCATCGCTTATAACTTTTTGCGATAATTTGATGTTTCAATACTTTCCACTTTAAATCCCTCTCACTTTTTGAATACTTTGAATCTATAACTCAATTAACAAATTCTCAACAAATTTTAAGGCACTATTCGTGAGCAAAGTTTTGGCACAAACTGGCGATTATGTGTTACATTTCATACATATTTAAAATTAACTTTAAATTCAACAGAAAAGACGACCAGAATATATAGAAAAATATATATATTCTGTATATTCCTCTCTCATTGGCAACATATGAGTGAAGCGAGCGATGCATTCAAAGCTACCGCTGCTTTTCGTTAGCAATGGTTTTCGAGATAAGAGTAAATAATGAAAAAATAGTTTGCATTGATTTGAGTGGAACTCGAAGTGTGTGTAACGCAAGTGCCATAAAACTAACCAATGCTATAGTGACTGAACACTCGATTCACTCATTCATTCATTCATCCGCTTATTTATTATAACGAAACCACACTTTCGTCAGAATATTTTCCCAATGCATACAACAGAGAGATATTTCACTCTTTTTTAACTCGTTTTCTCATATTTTTAACGCTATTTATTGCCATATATTTCATCGAAAAAGCAAATATTCTGTGAATTATTTTTCTTATAATAATAATTGTATTATTAATTATGAACTTTGCTGTGAAAAGACATTTCGGGCGTAATATTTGATTCAATGCCTCGTTTAGTGATTGGTGTAAATTGTTTGTAAAATCTGTTTGTGATAATAGTATTAAATAGATGGTAATCTCAGTGAATTGGACCATCATCTAACAGCTAACATCTATGTTGAAGTATTAAAACAATATTAAACAATGGACCCAAAAGATTCGTGGATTTGTCCCAACGATCGGGAGCTGACATTAAGAGCGAGGTCTGTGTCTGTGATTATTGCTATGGATGTAATGCATGTTAACATGTTTTCAATACTTTTCCATTAAAATTCATTATAATTGAAGTGTTTGTTTGATTTATAACTGTTTTAATTTGATGTGATCTACAGATTAGACACGGGATGGTCTGTTAAAAGCAACCAAATCCAGAACAATACGCCAAAAGTGGATCCAATCAATGATTGTGAACAAAAAATGATACTTAAAGTAATTAATAAAGCGAAACAAATGGAGAAAATGGAAAAAGATAGGATTAAGTAATCTATTGTCTTATTTTACACATCTTTCATATTCAATAGCACTGTCTTATAGCTTATAATATTATACATGAACTAAATTCTGTGTATTCATAACCTATGGATTATATTGTATATAATTGCAGCATTTTATGTTATTACTATCAGATCATCAATTTAATATTCAGTCTTTTGATACATTTAATTGATTTGATATTTTAAATGTATTTCAATGGCATTATATTTTAATCTCATATTAAAATTCATGCCATAATTGTATGGCTTTATTACATTAAAGTATAGAAAATGATAGATTTTATGCCAATTCAATAAAAGCAAAATAATTTATATTAAAATTTTGCATAAATCATAAGTCATTTGAATTATTTATAAATTGTAAAAAGTGAAACCTTTGGCTTAAAATTATTAATTTATAAAATATTTAATTTAGAGGTTTTTGTTAAATAAACGCCAGGTTTTTGTTCAAGAATTGAAAGTCCTGTCAATTCCTGTCCTTCCGTTTTCATTATAATTGAGGCTTTTTGTCAAAATGGGAAAAATAAATAAAACTATAGAAAGTAATATATATTCAAACACAAGTATAAATAAATGAATGTAATGTAATAAAAG